ATGGCAAACTACAAGCGCTACTCTACACTGCTCAAAACTCGCGTTTGAATCATCATTGGCAAATTCTTTAAATATAAAAAAACGTACTTACAGTCTTGTGAGTCAGAACAGCCGGCATTGTAGTCTACTCTACCAGGATCAGGAAACAGTCCGGTGGGCTTGAGAATGGCTCGGCCGGCAGATTCGACGAAGGAGCGTCCGGCGGGCTTACGGCAACCACATGTGACGACCCCGGGCTGGACTTGTCCACGAGTGCTTCGTCCACGGTGAAAGCCGATTCGGCGATCGACAGCGTGAAGTTGATGTATTTCCTCAGCGACCAGCTTTTGGAAGGCCAACCAAAGTAGTTTCGCTTTCACAACAATACACACAACGCCTTCACGACATGGCGGCGACGGCAACAACAATACTACAGCAAGAGTAAAAGTTACGCCGCCTTTCTTTGCGTGAACATTTAGGCGGTGTTATGCAAATCTTCCCACATTGTGACGTAGACATGTGGGGGCGTGTTAGAATGAGCCGTTTTAGGAAGGCGTGGCTGACTCTTAACTTTTATAAAGAATATCGCTTTGGATTTGAGACTTTAGTCTTTGCAACTTTACAGATCTTCTTTATGCACCAAGAGCTTGTAACACTCCAAAGAGAAAGGAAAAATTGAAATCGCATCATATGACCCCTTTAATTGATTAATCGCGTCTTCCCACTTTGCACAGAAAACGTCTCCCAGTCATGTCACTCTACAGTAATAAATAACTCATTCATGTGGACAAAATGCATCTGCAAATGCAGCAAAGGATGCAGAGTGAGCTGCTCCAGGAAAAGCGCACAACCCAAGTTTATCCTAAACATGAGAATTTGTCATATTAAGCGATTCACACAAGCATACAGTTTAACGCTGCATGCCTTGTTTTTGTGCATTGACAGATGCCGTTTAATCCATTTGAGGTGCATTTTCCTCAGTGCATAAATTACATTCTACAGTTGTATCCTTATATGTAAACATTAGAAAATCGCACAATTGTTTCCATTTTGCATAAAGGCTGATTCTGACAGCAAACGAGTCTCTGATAGACAGAGCGCAATAGAATATACATGTTCTTGTTAGACATTATTTGTAAGTTAATTCTACATGTGAGAAATGATTATTTTTCTTTATTATGATTGTTAATCTGGTATTTTATTTTACTTCTACTTTCAAATGTAAGCATTTAGATGATCTGGATGATGAACGGATCAGATCTCTGTGTGGAGCACTGGCTGTTGTCAGACATTAATTGTTACTATTAATGGCACAATGAATGTTTGAAAATGTAAATTGATATTAGTGTAAACTGATATTAGTGTATAGAAAATACTAGTGTTCAAATGATTTTGGCCACCACTGTACATTCAATATTTGTTTTCATTGCCGTCAAACTGCACATTGTTTGGGCAGGATGTGGAATAAAAAAAAAATGCTTTGATTCTGCTTCCCCAGGGTCACCGTTCGTAAACGCCATCATTCACAAGGGCTTCGACGAGAGGCATGCGTACATTGGGGGAATGTTCGGGGCTGGGATCTACTTTGCGGAAAACTCTTCCAAAAGCAACCAGTACGTTTATGGAATAGGAGGAGGAACGGGGTGCCCTCTTCACAAGGACAGGTCATGCTACATGTGTCAGAGGTGAGATGAGTTCCCGTTACAGCACACGGAGCAGGCCTCTCATTTAAGTGGCTTCACGTTTCCCAGCACAATGTGTTTTGTCAGCAGAGTATTGCTTTGTGGTGTAATTTTCCAAAACCTTGATTGCCTATTTCCTTTCTAAAGTGCTCATGCTCTCCATTCTTCGCTCTTTCTACTCCTCCCAGGCATCTTCTGTTCTGTCGGGTGACTTTGGGGAAGTCTTTCCTGCAGTTCAGCGCGATGAAGATGGCCCACTCGCCACCAGGACACCACTCAGTCACTGGCCAGCCCAGTGTCAACGGTCTCGCTCTGGCTGAGTACGTCATCTACAGAGGAGAGCAGGTACTACAGCCACAGGGCCCAGATTTTTCCATGCATAGCCAACATGCATTCGCAAACCCATTTTAATTCTGAGATAGAATGTGTAGGCCAGATTATTTAGCAGTTTACTGAATCGTGAAAGTGAGTGTTTCTTTCCTGAATTGTTATAGTCAACTCTAACTAAAACCATAAAAAAATACTAAATGAAAACGAGACATGTTATGTATATACTGTATATGTCGTATACATGTCTCATTTTCATTTAGTTTAAATTGATGTACTAATTTAACTAAAATTGAAATCAAAATAAAAACTAGACTTATTTATACATATAATTACTAAAGCTTTAACTAAAATTAGTGCTGTCAAACGATTAATCGCGATTAATCGCATCCAAAATAAAAGTTTTTGTTTACATAATATATGTATGTGTACTGTATTATGTATATATAAATACACACACATACAATATATATTTTGAAAATATTTACATGGATTTACATGTATACATTTAAATGTATATAATTTATATTATATATAAATGCATTTAATATATAAACGTAACATTTTTCTTAAATATATACATGCATGTGTTTGTATTTATATATACATAATACAGTACACATACATATATTATGTAAACAAAAACTTTTATTTTGGATGCGATTAATCGCGATTAATCGTTTGACAGCACTAACTAAAATTAAAATTAAAACCAACTATAAAAATAAAAGCTAATTCAAGCTATTAAAGAAGACTATAATAGTATCTCAATGATACTGAAATAACTCTGTACACTGTAGTATTGTAAACAATGTTGCCAATATTTATACAAAAATATATTTTGGTCATTTGGAGATGTACCGTATATACTTTCCTTCAAAAGTTTGGAGTTGATCTTTTTATCTTTTTAAAAGAAGATACTTACCAAGGCTACATTTATTTGTTCAACAACAAAAAAAAACAGTGAAAGAAATGATACTGTGTAATATTATTACAAGAAAAGTAATGTATTTAAGAGCTGTTTTCTGTTTGAATACATATTCAAATGTAATTTATTTATAATTTCATTACTCAAGTCTTCAGTGTCCTTCAGAAATCCTTCTAAAATGCTGATTTGCTTCGCAAGAAACATTTCTTATTATTAGCAATGTTAAAAACAGTTATGCTGCTTCACATTTTTAAGGAAAATTTGGTAAATATTTTCAGTAGAAAGTAGAGCATTCTTGCTGAATAAAAGTGTTGATTTCTTTCAAAAAAAAAAAACATATATATTGTCAAGTGAAACTAACACTGCTTTTGTCATTTTTCCTCCCAAGGCTTATCCTGAATATTTGATCACGTACCAGATCATCAAACCGGACGGTTCTTCAGATTAACACACAGGAGCAGAAACACGATGCTCTTTCCATCTCGGACGAGAGAAACTGCTTATTTATTGCATGCTTTATTTATACAGTGTATAATTCTTTTCTCTTCCGACAGCTGTCTGCTTTTGTCTAATTTAAAGCAACTTATTAATCAAATTTCAGACTCAACAAGTCTCACGTGTTCAGTCATTCACACTGGTTACAAAACTTCCATTTCCTTTTCTTTAAAGTTTAACTTATTTATTCTACAAAGACAATTGTATATATATTTTGTACTAATTGATTTATTGATGTTTGTATCATAAGAGTTTTATGCCTGAGTTGTAAATGTTTGCCACTATGCTGCAGTTTTCAGTGTGAATACAGGGTCTTTTAAAGGTTATTTGGTGGCAGTTGAAAAGCATCCAGTATTCAGGATAAAGAATATTTGGCAGAACAGGACGAGACTTAATCCAAGTATCAAATTATCTTACAATGTTCTCGTCTGTTGTTGCCCTCCAAAAAAGTATGACTTTAACTCTGCCATTATGTGTTACTCTGCGGAACGAGAAGACAAACTTAGTTTTATTCTCACTCTGCAATGTATTGGTGCTTGACTGAATCATTTCTGGGTTTTGATATGAATTGCTGTTTTTGTCCGAATAGTCCAGGAGTACTTGTACCCTGTTGTGCATGAACATGAACAACTCTTGTAATGTCATGTCTAAGATGTGTTTACTTTGTCCGTCACACAAGGTTAGCCTGCTCCAGCATCTCAATGTGAGCATTTGTGAAACTAACAAATGTCCAACAGGGGGCACTATTGTACTAAAAGTCATTTTAGCTTTAAAGCGTTGCATCTGGCGAACAGTCCACAATCCATAATAATGCTTCCTTCAGTGAAAAAGCCCATCCGCGGTTGTCCTCTCACATCAAAATCCAAAGACATTTGTTTAGAACTGATTTCACTTATAAACAGTGCTTAATTGGTGCGTATATCTCTGCTGATTCTGACAAGGTGACAACTGGAGAAAGCAATTGTATTTTAGCCGGAAGCAACCGTTTGAAATTGACCCTTTGCAAAGACCCATCCCCCTTAGTTACTGTTGCTACGTCTGACAAGCCATGGCGTTCTCACGCAGTGAAAAATACATCGTGGAGCAAAGACACAACGTGCCGACGGACAAGACTTTACTTTTGGTATGAAATAAAGTCTCAGCTTTTAAATTTTGTCATTTTGTAAGAAATTGAAACTTTTGAGAAAAAAAAAACGTGAACGTTTTGTGACTCTTAATGTGTCGCGACAGATACTTACAGTTCAAGCTGCAAGTGAAGAATAACCTCTTCATCTTTACTAGTTATAGCACGAAATAAACATGAATGAACATCAGAAAGTATCTTGTTTCAACCGCGGAAAGATGTCAATACACACCATTTTTCAAGTTTTTATGTCCACCTAAGTTAATCTACACAAGTTTTCGCAGGAATCGTGTGGATTATTGTGATGTCTTTATCAGAGTTTGGACTCCCATTCTGACGGCACCCATTCACTCCAGAGGATCCCTTGGTGAGCAAGTGATGATGTAGGCCTAATTCTAAATTTCTTCTAATCCATTCCCATGAAGAAACAAACTCATCTACATCTTGAATGGTCTGAGGGTGAGTACATTTTCAGCAAATTTTCATTTTTGCTTGAACTATTCCTTTTTTTCTCCACCCAAATTTGTACGATTGTACGATCTGACTCATCCAAAAATTTACAACTTTGTAGGTAAAATGGAAAGCCCACTCCCTAAACTCATACAAATTCGCAACTAATTCACCAAATCTCAAAATACTTGTTTAAACTACTGAAATTACTACTAAACTGTGTTGCTCGTGAAAAACTCTTTGCTTTAAAAAGCAATGCTTATTCCACATTCGTGAACTACACTGAGCTCTGGAAAACACATATGAAACCCTGTCGCTTTGTGGTGCTTGTCTGACCTTCTAAAGGCAATACCTATATGTGATATGACAAAATACACAATTCAAGTTCATACAAAAGTTTTTACTTTCGTGCTACAGACATTTTCGTAAAAGTAGAATGGCTTTTAAAAGAAGCAGTCTGTCAAAGCAACCGCAGGAGCCTCCCGAAGAAGCTTTGTCTGAATCACTCGGTGAACTAACGCTATACGGCACAATGGCTGTAGTGCATTTTAGTAAGTCTCTATTCACCGCTCAGCCAAACTTCATATCTGCAACATTTCTGATAAAAACACAAAGGCTAAGCCACAAATCATGTGTAGAAATGGTCCCGATGATGCTAAAGTCGTGTGGTAACAGGGTAGGGAAGGTAAATATTTTGGCAAATTGCAATTATTATATGTGGTATTATCATCTAATAGACACAAATGGTGTGCTTTAGTTATGGAATGTGCCATTTATTGCATTGACCTTTTTATAAAGCTGTTTGTCACATATTATTATGGACTGTATATAACTGGATGTGTGTGCAATGGCTTGTGTCAGGCTGTTGAAAATATTCTGTCCAAAAGTGTTCAGAAGCTGTCTAACTATGTCCCAATTTATCACACTGCTCGTGTTATTCACTCAGAGACATAACAGTATAACAGAGCTGCCAAGCTGTCCATCTAACTGTCAGGACGGTCAATAAGCCGAAGTGTGCCACTGGTGCTCGACTTTTTTTTTATAATTTTCAAAGTTTTTAAATTCCTTGTTTTACTGTTGTGATTATTGTTTTTATCTTATTTTATGTAAAGCACTTTGAATTACCATTGTGTATGAAATGTGCTATACAAATAAACTTGCCTTGCCTTGCCTAAAAAACACATTCTTTAGTGAAACTAAATTCCTAGAAAACTGACATATTTATACACTAGCGGTCATTTTTTTAACATTTTTGAAAAAGTCTCTTATGCTCCCCAAGGTGGCATTTATTTGATTAAAACTACAATAAAAACAGCAATATTGTGAAATATTATTACAATTTAAAGTAAGTGTTTTCTAAAGTAAAGTAATATGTTTTCAAAAGTAATTTATTTCTATAATACAATGCTGAATTTTGAGCAGCATTACTCCAGTCTTCAGTGTCACACGATCCTTGACCAAAAGTGTCAGTAACGACATTTCAAATGTTACAAACGTTCTATTAATCAAAGAATCCAGAAGAAGAAAAAATAGTTCACAGTTTCTACAAAAACATTAAGTAGCAAAAACTGTTTTCAGCATGGATAATAATCATAAATGTTTCTTGAGCAGCAAATCATGTAACTGAAGACTGGAGTAATGATACTGAAAATGCAGCTTTGCATCACAGGAATAAATTACATTTTTAAAATATATTCAAATAGAAAAGAGTTCATTTAAGCTGTAATAATATTTCACAAAATTGCTGTTTTTACTGTATTTTTATCAAATAAATGCAGCCGCCTTAAGGATAAAAAACAAAAAATCTGCTGATGGAATGACAATTTTGTCAAAATGTCAGATAAAGCCTCTGTTTTCCAAAGCAGCTAATTTAGATAAACGATTGTTCTATTGAATGTATTTTCACGCAACCAAAATGTACTTTTCTTTTATAGACAGCACGAGAGTCTATTGATTTGCTCCGAAGAAAAAGATGAACATGGCACTGAAGATCCTGCAATGCAATTCTTTTGCTGGCCCTTCCCATCGTGCATCATTGAAAGTGATTCGACTGAATGGCAAACCGTGACGCAGAACGCTGCCATTTCATACGTGACCTCCAGGTGTGTTTCTCTCTCTGTCTTTGTCATTCCAGTCGAATGCCCCTGACAACACACCAGATTCAGTCTGTTGATGGATGGATTCATCCCTACTGCTAATGGAAACTCTCATTCGGTTCACTGAAATAAATATGTAATATTGCAAGCTTGATTTATTTCTTTATAGGTGTAATCAGCGTATAACTGCATATGCTAGTCAGACAGACAGCCCGTGCTTTTGATGTATGGCTATTAGAGTGGAAGTTACACAGACAAATGACATCCCCTAGTGTCCTCACCTCTTCAGATAGCAATATGAATACAAAGAAGGCTATTGAAGTCACGTCTCTCTCTGTCTCTGTATTTGTCGTCTTCTCTCAGTCCAGCTTTCTCTTTTGTTTGGTGATCAAAAGACTGCAAGCTTCAATCTCAAGTTAATTGTTCCTTGCAAATGACTTTTTTTTTTTCTTTATCGCAGTATTTACTGCCATCTGCGAATTTGTGTGCGTTTTTGGATTGGAAACACTTGGTAAAACAAATGAAACAGGTTTGTTTGAGTTATCTGAACACATTGACGTTCTTAAGAAATATTAGGGCTGAAACGTACAGTAGTCTAGGTATGCAAACAGTTAGATCAATGTGTTTTCATTTTGATCATTTTGATTAAGACTTATATCTTACATAATTAAATGAGAATTACATTCTTAAGTAAATGTATCTTCATTTAAGAATCATACTTAAAGGAATAGGTCACCAAAAAATTAAAATGTACTCCCCCTCAGCCCATCCAAGATGTAGATAAGTGTGTTTGTTTATTGGAACAGATTTGGAGAAATTTAAGCATTACAACACTTGCTCTCCAATCATGGATCCTCTGCAGTGAATGGGTGCCGTCAGAATCAGAGTCCAAACATCACAATAATCCACACCACTCCAGTCCATCAATTAACATCTAGTGAAAGCATATTTGTTATAAACAATGTCTCTATCCTCTATCCATAATTGTGCTTTCTACAGTGAAGAATTCGTCTCGTTTGAATAAATATGCACAGATTAAGCACAGTTTACAAGCAAAAACAGTTCTAAACAAATATGTTGGTGGATTTTGATGTGAGAGGACAACAGGAGATGGACGTCTTTACTGGAGGAAGTGTTATTATGGATTACGAATTTGTATTTTGGCCAGAAGCAATGGTTTATCAGCTGTTTGGACACTCATTCTGACGGCACCCATTCACATAATTTCAGATGGCATAGAAAACAGTCCTATCACAATACTAAAAAGTATATACAGTGTGTCTCAGCAAATGATCAGGAGAAATGGGAGGCACCTGAGCTAAATTTCAAGTGTTGTTGCAGAGGGTCTGAATACTTATGTAAATGTGATATTTCTGTTTTTTCTTTTTAATAATTTTAAAGACATTTCTAAAATCCTGTTTTCACTTTGTCATTATGAGGTACGGACATAACAAAATTGAAAAAAAGTGAAGAGGGTCTGAATACTTTCTGAATGCACTGTATGTGTATGTGTAGAGATATATATATATATATACCTAACCTACCTAACCCTTGACTGTAAAGTACTAGTGCTTATAACACAGCTGTCTACACAAAAAGGATTGCACTGTATTGGAATTGAAGATTTAAGTGGTGGCATAGATCAGTGAATTTGACCATCTTTGTCTTCTTCCTCAACCCCCAAATATTAATAGAAAAGAAGCTCACACAACAGCAGCTCGAGCTCAATTTGCTCAGCTCAGCTAACGGTTCTCAGCAGATCCATATGGTTTGTTCTCCATCAGTTCATCCTTAGGGATAGAGAGACAGGCAGATAACTGCATTGTTCAAAGATTAGTCAACCTTCATTGAATTATATAATCAATGAACTCTTCAATAAGAATTCTGGGTAACTGGGTTAGGTCTGTTTCAAAAATTCTCAGAGTAAGCAACTAACAATGAAACATTTAGTTGTATTGCTGTCGCCATTAAAAGTCTGTGCAAGCAAAACTTTAACGCTTGAAAAAGTTCACAAAGACATTTTAAACGTAACATATATGAATTGAGTGGTTTAATCCAAGTCCTCTGAATAAACACAGTTGATTTATATGATGAACAGATTAGGCTTTTACTCATGCATAGGCTAAACATTGATCAACACATATACAGATGAGCCAGAACATTATGAGATACTCTGATCCAGTTGCCCTGCCATAACAATTTGGCCATTGTTAAATTCGCTCAGATACTCTTGCCCATTTCTCCTGCATCCAATACGTTGATTATGAGAACTTATTGTTTGTTTACCGTCTAATCTTAATACGTGGCCTTGTTAGGAGATGATCAACGATATTGGCTTCAC